TCGTGGACTAGGGTGACAGAATCGCAAACAGTAATTTAGCAAATAACAGAAGCCACATCACTAAACAACTAAAATCGATGACATATGTTACTAGTTGGGAAATTAATAACATAATCAAGATGTTGATGTCCACGCTATTTCAAACAAAAGTTTAGAAAGGAAAAACTAACATCAGTACGTTAAAAAGCAATAAGTTTCCGGACTTGAAAAACCTATTTTCCTTAAAAAATGTTTTAAGAGACAAAAATGGTTGGTCAATGAATATCAAATGTTTCTTTTTAAAGAAACTGCTAATCCTGGCGAAGTGATAACAGCAGCTTAAACTGTAAGAAAGCAACCATCCGGTGGATACAGTATGATGGTTTAGGCTTTATTGTCTGGATTTTTTTCATCCATTTGGAAGGTGCTTTGTCAACTTCTACAATGTCAATGTTATCTTTCCGAAGAATCACAGAAATGTCCAGAAATTGTTTACTGTAACCCAAAGAACTGTGCTGTCCTGACCAACATTCTTCGCAGATCTTAATCCTATGAGGCACTTAAGTGATGTGTGAGACCGTAAATTGCAGTATTTAAGGGACAGATTCCATGGGTAAAACTGTCTTGTATACTCCAGACCTTATTAAATAATAGCTGTTTTGAAGTAATATTGAGGATTATTATCATATTAATCAGGCCATATCTTCAGATTCTACGAGGAACATTTATCGTGCAGATATCAGATCCTTGCAAAGGTTGGTACAGACTTTCATTGTTAATATAAAATGTCCGCTACTTGACAGTAGAGTTTGCTTTGGCGTGGATTTCGGGTGTCTTCTAGATTGAAACCTTGTATAGACTTTATTGAATGTTGACGTTTTGTCCACAAACGAATGCTTTAAAGATGGAAGATGTAAAGTTGCACTTTCGCCATATTATGATCTAGTAATTATGGAAAGGAACAAATGTTGGAATTGCAATAAAAAAATAAAAAAACAACCAATAGGTTTATTTAAATTGTGCTCGTCGACCGGTCAAAATTGCTCTTCGGGCGGTCAAAAAGTGATTTAGCAAAACGATTAACCACGATCCAGGCGACCTTCTGACGTCGATGAACAGGTTCTGCTTGCTCTCGTAGAGAACGAACTAAGGATTTTGATGGAAGAGATTGCTGAGAGTTTGAAAATCGATACTTCAAATGGCAAAATGCATTTGAAGAGAGTTGTCTTTAAGAAAAACGGCCGATTGCGCCAAATCGAAAAGGGGTCTTTTCCTAGCCCGACAACGCAAGACACCACATATTATAAAAAACTGTTGAAATGACCTACTATCAAGTATACACCGTATTCTTCTGACTTATCTCGTTTTAATTGTTATTTGCTCCGGCCTCTACCAAACAATTTAAATAAAAACAAATTTGAATCTGTACCGTCAGTCGGTGCACAACATAGTTCCAACAAAAGACATGATGTTCCTAAGAGATCGCATCAACAAACTTGTAGGACGGTGGAGGGAGTTATTAAAAATAATGGAGATTATGTACTTGACTATAATAAATTTTTAGGGGGTGATTATTTAAAATATCTGTTTCTAATTTTTTTATTCGGGCACGACTTTTTGCAATGGTCTAATATAATTGCGTGAAAATAGAGAAGGAACATATTTTCTGTCTGAATTTCTGGGATGAAGAGATACAATTATTCACACTGTTTATATTCGGACTATTTTCCTTAATTTAGTTGTTGTTATCACAACGTTTCGGCCGTTTTATCATTCTGCCTTCACCTGGTGTTACATCCGGGTAACCTAAAGGGAATTCTGAACTTAACCTTAACGAGACTGTTCTCGCTCCAGTGCCCATGTCTAGGGATATCTCGTCTAGTCCTTATTTTTAGTACGGCTCAATTATTGATTGACCTGTTTCCACGAAGTCCAAGTACACACTGCCCGACCCATGGATTAAACGTGAATTCTGCATTACACGTTTCGACCTCTAAAAAGAACTTCATCGGACAAAAGTAATGCATTAGTTGATGGAATTATGAGAGTAGGAGGGATATTTTTTTTACTCGAGTAAGGAAGTAAAGCCACTAAGACACAAGGGGTCATTGTGTGTAGATGAATTAGAAAACAAAGATATTACCAAGAAGCGGGAATAATAGATTTAATAGTATTAGGAAGACAGTAGATAGCGATTGACATTGTATTTAAGTGTTTAAGGTTGACAGAAAAAAATGGACCCGGAAGAGACTTCCACAAGCGAGAACTGCAAGAAAAGAAATTGTTAGCATAGAACTATATATCTGTAAATTAATGAGACCTTGTTGGCACTCTAGTACTGCGTTTAAATTCATAAAGTCTAGGTACCATAGCGAAAAACCCGAACGTGGGTTATAATCACGTACGGTGGGAGGAGAGAACAAAAAGACGAAATTTATTAAGATCTACAAACGACCGGGAATTGTGAAGAGGCATATCCCGCCAACGTCCTGAAGGGACACGGCACCAAAAAGAAGACGACAATGAGGTAAATAACTACATATTTCTCTATAATTATATATGATTTTTTTTTTCAAGCCTGAGAAGATAATAGCTAAATCTGAAAATTCGTAGAGGATCAGTCGTTTATTAGTCCGGTGATCACTGTTTCAGTTTGCTAGTGTAATCTTCCTCACTTTCACAGTGAACGATTGGATCTGACGAAGTCGAACTTTTTATTTGGTGAAGAAGATTGCGAGATATTGATGAAACCAGTTTTATATGTGTTCATTGTTTAATCGCAAATTAAGATCAAATGGATAAATTTAAAACAGAAATTTAATTTGGAATAAAATCCACATTCGTATCCCATATCACGGGACCTAGCTTTTATCAAATATCACACCGTATATTTTTATCACGAATTTCCATATATGCAAAGAAATGTTATAACAGGTAAATTTCCTGACTTAGTCGAAAAAATACGAAAGGAAAAGAGAGAGAGATGGGGGGGACTTCATCTTAGATTTTCTAATGGCTTCAGCTACTGCTAGTACTACTAAGTTTTATCATTCAGTAAGAAGTTTGCTGAACCTCCTGCATTGAAATTCGCAACATGCGACAGGTAATAATAAACTAGAGAAGAACTCAAAATTGATCGTAAGTATTGCGTTAATACTTAAGCTTACCTTTTAAAAGTTCAACGACAGTTCTTCTGTCGCCACTTAATTTAAAGACGGTTTGATGTACGTAGATCCTTACTTTCTGTACAAACAATTATTTTTATTAGGTTGGTGCAAAATAATGACGTAAGAATGTCGTTTTTTGACGTTAAAAAAATACGTCAAAAAACGACATTATTACGTCATTATTTTTGCACCAACCTAATATTTCATGGCTGACCTTCGCAATTAATTTTCATTATTCTCAGATTTATTTCCAAGTTATAAAGATTGTCATGGTACAAAAATATCGTCGCAAAAATTACGTAAAAAAATCGACAGAAATAATCGCAGTAATAAAAACTAAGGAATAAAAAAATTCTGGATTTTGGGGTCTTGATCCGGCCCGGAATATTACCAATTTGTTCGCGGAGTTGGCCTGATTCCAGAAAAGTATATGTTGAACAAATGCCTTTAGGAGTAAAGTTGAAATGTGTGACAAAATGACACACTGACATTTGCATTTATTATATAGATTAACTTATAAAATGCAAGCTTAAATATTAACGCAATATTTACGATCAATTTTGAGTTTTTTTCTAGTTTATTGTTACCTATCTCATCTACTCCTCCTCAAATATTGAGATGAAGGTCTAATCAAGAGCCCTCCGCAGGAGCTAACTTAAATGCCACCCGATGGGGCGGCCTTTAAGCTCGTTACAAATATACAGAAAATAAACTGAAGCAAGATAGTCTGGTGCTGTAGTATCCCTTCTATTGGGAGTGTTAAGTCAAAGGTTATCAAACAAATTTTAGGCCATATCATAAATTATCGATTTATCTTTATTCTCGGTGGCTTTTTCTGTTTCTCTATATCGCACTAAAATTAGCATGTCAATTTAATCAAATAAAATTAGTAAATGTAATTATTTTCTTAACCAAGGGAACATTCTAATTCTTTCTTGTTGTTTAGTATCTTGCATATTGCTGATTTCACCATTTCATACTCGACATGAAGTTTAACACTTGTTCTATTCAGTTGTTCGAAAATTGTTTTCTTCTTTATTTGTAAGCTAAATTATTTTCTCACTCGCTTCTGTTGGTTTATCGTTATCATTTTATTTTTATTTTAACTATTAGGCAAGAATTATTTTCATTGTAAAGCATGATGACTTGAAAGTTTACAAGTAATGACACAAAACGAGAATAATATGGAGACTAAAGTCGCTGTTCATAACTCTCCCAGTGACTTAAACTCATGCGTAATCAACTCACGGTTCGTTGTTCAAATTCTCACTCGTTAGAGGAATTTAATTATCTTCGCTAAAAAAAAAAAATGTTCATTATCCAATTTGTTCATTTAGCCAACCGTGCGTATATCAATACCCGATTATATGTTATTTAAAAAAAAAAAACAGTGATTGTGTGTCACAGAACAGACAGTGATTATTCAACTGCTGACATCGCAAAGTTATTTTTAAATATCAAAATATTAAAGCATCGATCTACAATGAAGTTTTCCGTTAACGTTTTTTCTTAATTCTGAGAATACATTTCGCCATAGCCACTGCTCTAAAACAAAAACCAAATATTCGCTGTTAGTTTTATCGTCTGCTATTCACCACATCGCTCTTTTTATTTTCTTTTTTTTTCACTCTTGATTACACGCACCATCGACATTTCAAGATCCGTTGACAGTTGAATTTACTGCCTCGTTCAATCTAAAAAAATATCGAAGACATTGGGGAGATGTCACAGTTTTTAGAAATCAATCGGGTCAGTATATCATATCAGTTGATTAGACGAAATCTCAAAAGAAATCGTAACTTCCATTTAAATTCTTTTCCGTTGTGCTCAACATTCAGATTTGACTTTTCTTCCATGTGCCTTTTCTCTTTCAATTTTCGATTTTCACTTTTTCATGTGCTATCTGTTATTGCAGCCTTCTTAACATACACCGGTTTTCTTTTTCTGCCAATTAAAATGGATTTTTCTTCTTTTTCTGTTCGTCCCAAGTTTTCTACTTATCGTCCTATATCCACTTTTATACCAGTCGTCGTCTTCTTTCCCAGTCATAATCTTTTTCATCAGCAACTGTCTAAATCTTGTCATAGTCTCCGTTTTCTGTCCCGATCTCGGCCCAGTTTTCATCTTCTGTCCGAGTTTACACTAGTCCTCATCGCCTGTCTTCAGTTTTTCCTCGTCTTCATCTTCTCCCCCGATCTTGCTCCAAACTTCATCTTCTGTCCTAAGTTTGTTCCAGTCTTCTTCATCTGCTTCGAGCTTGCTCTTGTCTTCATCTGTTCCGAGCATACCCCAGACATCATCTCTCTCGAGCTTAACCCAGCCTTCTTCTCTCTCGAGATTAGCCCAGTCTTCATCTTCTCTCTCGAGCTTAACCCAGTCTTCATCTTCTCTCTCGAGCTTAACCCAGACTACATCTTCTCTCTCGAGCTTAACCCAGTCTTCATCTTCTCTCTCGAGCTTAACCCAGTCTTCATCTTCTCTCTCGAGCTTAACCCAGTCTTCATCTTCTCTCTCGAGCTTAACCCAGTTTTCATCTTCTCTCTCGAGCTTAACCCAGACTACATCTTCTCTCTCGAGCTTAACCCAGACTACATCTTCTCTCTCGAGCTTAACCCAGTTTTCATCTTCTCTCTCTAGCTTAACCCAGACTACATCTTCTCTCTCGAGCTTAACCCAGACTACATCTTCTCTCTCGAGCTTAACCCAGACTACATCTTCTCTCTCGAGTTTAACCCAGACTACATCTTCTCTCTCGAGCTTAAGCCAGTCTTTATCTTCTCTCTCGAGCTTAAGCCAGTCTTCATCTTCTCTCTCGAGCTTAACCCAGACTACATCTTCTCTCTCGAGCATAACCCAGACTACATCTTCTCTCTCGAGCTTAACCCAAACTACATCTTCTCTCTCGAGCTTAACCCAGTCTTCATCTTCTCTCTCGAGCTTAAACCTGTCTTCATCTTCTCTCTCGAACTTAACCCAGTCTTCATCTTCTCTCTCGAACTTAACCCAGACTACATCTTCTCTCTCGAGCTTAACCCAGTCTTCATCTTCTCTCTCGAGCTTAACCCAGTCTTCATCTTCTCTCTCGAGCTTAACCCAGTCTTCATCTTCTCTCTGGAGCTTAACCCAGTCTTCATCTTCTCTCTGGAGCTTAACCCAGACTACATCTTCTCTCTGGAGCTTAACCCAGACTACATCTTCTCTCTGGAGCTTAACCGAGTCTTCATCTTCTCTCTGGAGCTTAACCGAGTCTTCATCTTCTCTCTGGAGCTTAACCCAGACTACATCTTCTCTCTGGAGCTTAACCCAGACTACATCTTCTCTCTGGAGCTTAACCCAGACTACATCTTCTCTCTGGAGCTTAACCCAGACTACATCTTCTCTCTCGAGTTTAACCCAGTCTTCATCTTCTCTCGAGTTTAACCCAGTCTTCATCTTCTCTCTGAGCTTAACCCAGACTACATCTTCTCTCTGGAGCTTAACCCAGACTACATCTTCTCTGGAGCTTAACTTCCTAGACTACATCTTCTCTCTGGAGCTTAACCCAGACTACATCTTCTCTCTGATATAACCCAGACTACATCTTCTCTCTGGAGCTTAACCCAGACTACATCTTCTCTCTGGAGCTTAACCCAGACTACATCTTCTCTCTGGAGCTTAACCCAGACTACATCTTCTCTCTGGAGTTTAACTCAGACTACATCTTCCCTCTCGAGCTTAACCGAGTCTTCATCTTCTCTCTCGAGCTTAACCTAGTCTTCATCTTCTCTCTGGAGCTTAACCCAGACTACATCTTCTCTCTGGAGCTTAACCCAGACTACATCTTCTCTCTGGAGCTTAACCGAGTCTTCATCTTCTCTCTCGAGCTTAACCGAGTCTTCATCTTCTCTCTCGAGCTTAACCTAGTCTTCATCTTCTCTCTGGAGCTTAACGCTGTCTTCATCTTCTCTCTGGAGCTTAACCCAGACTACATCTTCTCTGTCGAGCTTAACCCAGTCTTCATCATCTCTCTCGAGCTAAACCCAGTCTTCATCTTCTCTCCCGAGCTTAACCCAGACTTCATCTTCTCTCTTTTAACCCAGACTTCATCTTCTCTCTCTAAACCTTTAGACTACATCTTCTCTCCTCGAGCTTAACCCAGACTACATCTTCTCTCTCGAGAAGCAACCCAGACTACATCTTCTCTCTCGAGCTTAACCCAGTCTTCATCTTCTCTCTCGAGCTTAACCCAGTCTTCATCTTCTCTCTCGAGCATTCCACAGCCTCCATCTTCTCTCTCTGTTTCTCTAGCATGCCCGTCTTCATATTCCCTTTCGTGCATACCCCAGTCTTTATCTACTTTCTTGAGAATTCCCAAATATTCATCTTCTCTCTCGAGTATACTCCAGTATCCCTCAGAGGACGAAACGCATTGGCTAAGATAATTTTTCATTCTATCGTTATTCATATTGTCCTTTCACATATATACTCAATTTGAAGTAATATATATATATATATATATATATATATATATATATATATATATATATATATATTGTTGAAACTTGACTAATGTATGGAATAATAATACAACACAAAATGTACTTAGAACAAAATGTATTGAAACAAGAAAGTGTACACAATATTTACATATAGTCTTTTGTATATTCCTGGTAAGACCGTTCCTGGAGAATGTGTTGACTGAGTCGCAGTCGGGCAGAGTCTCTGGTTGAATCTCTTGACTCCTTTCTCTCTTCCCGGTACCAACCATATTTATATGGTCGGTCCTCTACTATACAAATTAGGTGGATCCTACCACAACATATATATGTATATATATATATATATATATATATATATAAGGGTTTTGTAGTACAAAATTTAATGATAGCTAGGAATAAGCAAAATTTATATGGCATTTTTAAAAACTAAAACACAACCGGTTTCGTCCCAGCCTTATCAATTTATTTCTGGGATATATATATATATATATACGCCGGGTTTAATTGCAAAATTGTCCAAATCGTGTTGCAGCATAATTGTCCATCCCACAAAATGTTCAATATATAAAAAGCCACTAAACTAATTGAGTTTATTTTTTCAAGATTTTCACATAAGACGTAAGAATCTCTGAAAAACCGTTTGAGTTATTCATCTAGAAAGAGAAAAGTTTAAATCGTTTTGTGCCAGCCCCACTGTCTTCCCAAATGAGCAATGGTGAGAGAAAAAAATCATTCAGGCCATCAGTAACATTTATACCCTGGCTTCCATCATCAAAGTCTATTCAAAAACCATAAAGAAAACAGTGAATACGCTTTAAAAAGTGGTAACAGAAGAGCGGAAAACTGGACCAAAGGGTCACAGTAGGAATATGGATTATCACATCCATGTTTGTGAAAATATATATATATTAATTTCAATCCTTCATGAGCTTCAAATCTTTAGCTATGATTAATTAATGATGAACATGTCATTTTCATTTATGATCGATTTCATCCTGATTCTTCTGTTAAACTTGGAGAGTAATTATACATTCTTATAGCTTAATGTAGAGTCCAATAGTGTTATAAAAACCTCAAAGAATTCCAGTAAGATATCTTTAATCATTTCTAAGATACAGAGTTTCAAATCTTAATCTAACATTTAAACAATTTTGCTTTTACACGATTTGGACAATTTTAGTGTTACACCCGTTATATTTATGTATATGTAAATTTCCCAGAATAATTCTGTAGATATTACGCTTTCATTGCTTACCTTGATAAAGTCGGAAGACGAAACGCGTCGGCACAATCTAAGAATTCTTTTCCAATTGTCATATATATATATATATATATATATATATATAAATCTGTATTATAAATCTTAGTGTGATTTATATTTGTGCACTCCGGTGTTGTATATTAAATATTTTCAATGTGACATATTTTCCGAATCCAATCTTATGGGGTTTTTTTTTCCGGTTCCTCTTTCTGTGTTGTTAAGGTCTTTGGATATCAATGATGTGTTAATGACTATAGTGGACTTTGGAGTGAGAAATCCTAGACATATCTTTTCTCTTTCGTCGCCCTGGGTATGATGATAAATTACATCGAGTAACATGGCCTCTGATCCGAAGAATGGAGGTTTTGAGAAGCGTGGAACTACCTCTTAATTGCTGGTGTTCCCTGGTGCATCCTGTCCCGGGCTGGTAGCAACCTTTAGGGTCCCAGAAAATAGTTAATCTCTAAACCTGTGTCAAACACAATGAAAATATAAAATTATATTTTGAAGGTGAAAATACCAGCAATGTATTTTCATAGTAAAAAAATAATTCCAAGAATTAATTTTTGGAAAGAAAATTATTAATGCTCCTAATTACTAAAATAAATTTCGGCATTAAATGACCTATAAGGAGTAGATATGCCACTAAAGACACAAAATGTCCCTTTTCAAACATACCTGTTATATATCATTAGGAACAGTGTGTTTTTCTGTTCACTGAGCAAGAAAAAATATTTCCATGATGAGTTCAAATGGGGTACACGTATTGAAGCCAAGGGGATTATTTAATATAAAAAAAAAGTATTAGTTCTTAAGTATAAGTGGAGAATTTACCTCTTTTCTAATAGGAGGATTTTTATTTCATACTAACAATTATCGTTTGTAGACGTTCAATGTTAAATTACGCCTTATTTTCTTATTAATGTAAAGAAAAGAAAAAATAGCTGGGCAATTTTAGGCTGCAATTGTAATAAATAATTATCCGAAAATATTTTTCTTTTTTTTTTCCCCATATCAAGTTTTTTCATTAGCAACTTACCAGGAATAATTAGAACCTAATTTTTTTTATTACGATCGTATTATATAAATATAAATACCAACGAATTTTTTTAAATTTATTTATTCAATATTTCTGATTATTTTCCTGATTTCCGGTACATATTTAAGAATAAATTATTCTATGTCTGAGCACTTTCAGATTTGGAAAATCATTATCAGCGAGCTTTGTCTTTTTCATCTATGTCGGTTTCATCGTTTTCATATATCGCGTCGTCGTGTCCATCACGTAACAGTCCGTGTTACTGTTTAGTTCCACTTATGTTTTTTTTGTTTATTTGTAACTCAGACATTGGATAATTTATAGTTAATTATGTGCTGAAAACCAGGGAAAATGGCTCGAACTATAAAAATAATATCCTGAACAAAAAATTAAAAATTTGCTTGAGCTTTAAACAAATTTGTATAAAAGAATGACAAAATTACTCCTGAAATAAAACCTAACCTATATATATATATATATATATATATATAATGTAAGTTATTGTGTATGTATGTATGTGTGTATAATGAAACTAGACGTAAATGAATAATTAGAGAAACAAACATTTAATTTACGACAACGATTATAAAATAGTCATTTCTTTCTTGTAGATTACATTTGTTCCGCTTAAGTTATGTGGTGTGAATTTAATTATTCTTTGTTTCATTAGGCAGACAAACTCACCATCAATAAGTTGAAATCTCATTATAGCGTCTCTCAGCTTTTTACTCGGCGTAGACAATTACTTGCATTAAAAATATATGTAGTTACACGAATAAATATTACACATAGCCTTTTGTAACACAGTGCAAAATAAAAGTAAATAAGTTTGTTGTGTTCCTATTTCGTAAAAGGGTCGTGTAATTCTGTTTTCTGTTTAGCTTATAAAAAAATGAACATTTGTTCTCCTGTCATTTTGCCAATATTCAAATACCTACAACATTGTGTTTACAAAGGGACAGTCAGAGGTATGTGTGGAGAGATGCGAATATCCACGTCCGCAGACATTTTTACATGCCCTACCAAATCAGTATACGCTCAGTCTTTGTCAATCACTTTCTCTCACGCTGTACATATCTTTGCGTCATCCTCGGCTCCAGTCGCTTTCCCGACACCGTAGCGTAACTTTCCCGCTCTTTATTACATAGAAATGAAACTCAATTATACGCCATTTTATGGCCATTTCGCTTCCCCGGATAAATTCCATGGAGCTTGTCATTGCTAAAACGTCTGTTAAAAAAATGATTCATTTTTTTTTAGCAAACCTTTTAGTAATAACAAGCTCCAGTTACTGCTGCATTGTATTTTAAAAAAAAAACCTTCCTGTGTTTTCTACCCGAGTAAAATTTCTAATACGTCATTAAAATGTTCCGATTGCTCACGACATTTAGCACACATTTACTGTGCATCAAATTATAGCCATTCTAAAATCCTGTCATACGTTTAGATTGGGATATTTGTTTCCTGAAACTAGTCTTAATTTTCTGAATTTTCGAATCTTTGAAATAAATTGAGCTTCCATTTCGAGTGACAATTTTTACCGGAATCAGATACGACAATGAAGACAACAACTGAACGACTTTTTTTAACTAGTTGATTTTTTTCTAAGATTTTTTTTTTTTTTTTTGAAGGCCAACTGTTAACTGATCGGCATAGTGCTGCTTTTCTACAATATTTGAATCGTACAAATTTCATCGAATAATCTTCCAGTTTAAGACTTTTTTTGAATTTTCCACTTTCGCTCTCACATTTCATAAAAAAGACCCTCACAGATATATTGTAAATTAACCATGAGCTTCCCAGCTCTCCTCACATATTCCATCCGGATAAAAATAAAGTTTAAATTGTGCCGAATGCGTATTTTATTTTGCTTGGTTACAAAAGATACCAGATTTCTTTGATTTAAAATAAATGAAGCAATTTTCATACGGTTCATTCAATCTCAGCTGTTCAAAAAAGATGGATGTGATTACGATTGCGCGTATTTAATATGTGCGTTTTTCTACAAATATTTTCATAGCAATTGTTTTGATGAGTTTTCCTTCTTGGTGCATCGACTGGTGCCTGAATGTAAGCAAGCTACTAGATTGGCAGTTATGTCCCACCGTTTTATGATTGAACTCGTTAGATTCAACTGTAATTTGTAATGTAATTGTTTCTTCTCTTGCACTGCTCATATTTGGAGCTCCCTTCCAATTCTTCCCTGTTTCTCTGCCAACTATAATCTTTGATCGACTTGAAATGCAACTGTCATCCTGAATCCTACTCTTTTATTTTCCTTTTTCTTTACTAAAGACTTGCAACTCTTTTTCAATCTCAGTGACCCAGTGCGTCTTAGCGGTATTATCACTTTGATTGGTGAGAAACAATAATGTTTGTGAAAATCTTATATATATATATATATAAGAAAACTTACAACAACCATAATAACATCTGTTAGTAAATAATGACATTTCCGGACCCAAAGAACCTTTTCAATCAACGGTTCATGATTATTAACATGCTCCTAATTTCATATAAAGCTAGATAAAAAATGTGTACATTTCAATTACCCCACCCCACGCCGGTAGATTTACATTATTATTATTATTATTATTATTATTTCTTCTATTCTTCTTCTTATTTTTCTTCTTCTTCTTCTTCATTATTTTTCTTCTTCTTCTTCTTCTTCCTTTTCTTCTTCTTTATTTTCTTCCTTTTCTTCTTCTTCATTTTCTTCCTTTTCTTCTTCTTCATTTCTTCCTTTTCTTCTTCTTTTTTCTTCTTCTTCTTCTTCTTCATTTCTTCCTTTTCTTCTTCTTTTCTTCCTTTCTTTTCTTTCTTCCTTTTCTTCTTTCTTCTTTTCTTCTTCTTTCTTCTTCTTCTTTTTTCTTCTTTTTCTTCTTCATTTTCTTCCTTTTCTTCTTCTTCATTTTCTTCCTTCTTCTTCTTCTTCTTCATTTCTTCCTTTTCTTCTTTTCTTCTTCTTCATTTCTTCCTTTTCTTCTTCTTCATTTTCTTCTTCTTCATTTCTTCCTTTCTTCTTCTTCTTTTTCTTCCTTTTCTTCTTCTTCATTTTTCTTCCTTTCTTTTCTTCTTCTTCTTTTTTCTTCCTTTTCTTCTTCTTCATTTTCTTCCTTTTCTTCTTCTTCATTTCTTCCTTTTCTTCTTCTTCATTTTTTCTTCCTTTTTCTTCTTCTTTCTTCTTTTTCTTCTTCATTTTCTTCCTTTTCTTCTTCTTCTTCATTTTCTTCCTTTTTCTTCTTCATCTTCCTTTTCTTCTTCATTCTTTCTTCTTTTTTTCTTCTTCTTCTCCTTCATTTTCTTCCTTTTCTTCTTCTTCTTCTTTTCTTCTTCTTCTTCTTCTTCTTCTTCATTTTCTTCCTTTTCTTCTTCTTCTTCTTCTTCCTTTTCTTCTTCTTCATTTTCTTCCTTTTCTTCTTCTTCTTCATTTTCTTCCTTTTCTTCTTCTTCATTTTCTTCCTTTTCTTCTTCTTCTTCATTTTCTTCCTTTTCTTCTTCTTCTTCGTTTTCTTACTTTTCTTCTTCTTCTTCATTTTCTTCCTTTTCTTCTTCTTCTTCATTTTCTTCCTTTTCTTCTTCTTCTTCTTCATTTTCTTCCTTTTCTTCTTCTTCATTTTCTTCCTTTTCTTCTTCATTTTCTTCCTTTTCTTCTTCTTCTTTCTTCATTTTCTTCTTCTTCTTCTTCATTTTCTTCCTTTTCTTCTTCTTCATTTTCTTCTTCATCTTCTTCTTCATTTTTTTCTTCTTCTTCTTCTTATTATTATTATTTTTATTCTTCTTATTATTATTATTATTATTATCACCCCCCCTACTATCATACGTAATGTCGTGCATCTGCTAATTTATTTTTCTAAATAATAAAGCGTTCATTAATAATGTTTATTAAAAATAAAGCGTTAGGATATCATTTGATACAAACCGCCTGACGATACCGAAAGGTTGAAACCAAGTTAGCGGAAATGATTGATCTTTTATTTTTTTAAACACACACACACACACACGCACATATCAATTGGTGTCACCCCATGCAAGGTAGTGAAGTTACAAAGACAAAAGGAGTTAATGGATGTGGAAGAATTAGGAACAGAAACATCAATAATGAGCGGGAAGAGGAAAGAGTAAACGAGGGACTGTAGATAACGATTGACATTGCATATATATTTTCTGCAGATTAAAGTTGACTGGAAAGCATGCAGCCGGACGGCGTTCCACAAGCGAGTAGTGCGAGAAAAGAAACTGTTCGCATAGAACTTACGGCTATATCTAGTCAGCTCAACTGTAAATTGGTGAGCTCTCGACACCAGTTTCGTACTGCGCTTAAATTAAAAAAAAAATAGGTGCCATAGCGAAGAGCTCATCCGAACAATTACCATGAAAGAATTTATATAAAAGTCACAGAGCCTACCTTAGGGCTGCGGTAAAGTGATTGAAGCCGGGCCGTCAGACCAGGACCAATAATATTGCTGATTCTTCTTTGGCTTTTATCTATCTAGCTATCTCTGTTTTATATATATATATATATATATATATACACAGTGTAACCCGGATATAAGAGAGATTTCCTCTGGTCCCAAATTAGAGCCCGTGTTAATGTATATAAAATAGACCAAACCCGGATATAAGAGACTTCTTCTCCGGTCCTGACAACTCTCTTATATCCGGGTTACACTGTGTGTGTACATATATATATATATATATATATATATATATATATATATATATATATATATTCTAGGGTCATTTTTCAACTTATTCAATATGATCTTCGCCCTTTCTAACCTAAATTTTTGTCCTTTAGTTGTATTGATGTGACTCTGGGTTTCGCGCTCTCTGCGATCGTCAGACAAACTGATTCATTTCGAAGTTTTCGTTGTATTTATGGATGCGTATATAGGTGTCTTATGGTAATGGAAGGAAAAAAATTTTGTCGGTACGCATATATACATAGACGGACGTTGCAGCTCGCACAAACATAAAAATACATGAACCGTGTGGGACTGGGCTTATATGTGCATCCATGTGTCGTTGTGCGAATACGTACGCAATTGGTCGCCGTATTCAATGTTGGATTCAGTAGCGAACTTCTTTCCAAGTGGCAGTGTCAACGCTCAGATCGTTCGTCTATTTTCGAGAAATAATGTTTCCTCGCACACACGTATATACGTATGCACGCGCGTTCACACACCTTTTATCAGTCCGTTTTTTTTGTTTTTTTTTTCACTTAAGATGGGGGTCTCTGTAAGACTATGGTAGGTAAAATTGTTATTATTTTTAATGTTTTAATGCTGTTTAGTTATTTTAATATTTTTTTATATTATTTTATTGTTAGCTCTATCACTGATATTGAGCACTTTCTAATATGTAATGTGCATATATAAATAATATATATATAAATTAAATGCACACACACACACACACACACACACACACACATATATATATATATATGAAGAAAAATACAGAAAAAACAAACAAAAATCTTAATATGCAATTATGCTGTATTAATGTTAATATAAAGTCGACGTCGGACGTTTCGGTCTATTTAAGACCATCTTCATGGACATTTTCATTTAAACATAATTAACATCAGAACATATAAAAATTTAACACAAAAGACGATGGACATAAGAGCACAACTAATCCAAACAGATAACTGAAATTTTTATATGAGATCAGCGTTCCGTTTAAATATGATCACGTAGTCGTCACGTGGGCGATGTTGTTAAAACGTATTCGAGGATGATTTCCAAATGTTAAAATATTAAAAAAGTCGATTGAACTATTTTATATAAACAGTTCAAGAAATCCCTTCCGTTGATATAGGAATACGTAGTGATCAATAGGTTCTTATATCTTCATACAAGCTTGAAGTCCTTCACGTTACAAAGCAAATCAAAAATGATTTCAAAAACGATGGAACAGTTCTAAAAAACAGTTCGATAATAAATCCTTTCCTTACTTGATCAATAGATTCTTATATTCTCGTCCAAGCTTAAAGTCTTCCATGTTATAAAGTAAATTCAGGTTTGTATTTCCAGTAGACAGTATGTAAGCAAATATATGGATATAGATCCGACAGTATGAAGAAAAATACAGAAAAAACAAACAAAAATCTTAATATG